CACACATAAACACACACACACACACATAAGCACACACACATACGATTAGTCACTTTTATTGTTAATAATATTCAAATCACACACACATAAACACATACAAACACACACACACATACACACAAACACATAAAAACATACACACACATACACACAAACACATAAACACACACAAACACATACAATTAATCAGTTTTATTGTTAACAATATTCAAATCACACACACGTAAACACATAAAAACACACAAACACATAATCACACACACACACCCACAAACACACACCTCATTTCGAAACAAAGGATGGGTTTATAAAAATTCCAACAAATGAGATTTATTCTGTAAAGATTTATTATAGATCAATATTATTGAAACAAAATCATTTATCTCAATTTAAAAAATTATCTCCCTCCGCCATTCAGTTACTAGAAATAATTCTAGATATAAAAACAATCGATTCAACAATCAATTAACAGTTATACGAGCGTGCACACAAACACACACACAGTTACACGCAAACACACACACAGACACACACAAACAAACAGACACCCAAACAAACACATGACACACGTGTGAAGAGTCGTAAAATCGTGTATTACACACACACACGTGCAAGTAGGTATGAATTGAAATATACCCGCAGTTGAACCCGGCGCGTAATGAAGAGATGTTAGTAACAGGCCACTTTAACCATTTGGCCATCCCACCTTATTAAATTAATTCAAAATTAGTTTTAGTCCAAATAAATTTTCGTTACAATTTCAATGGTTTATATTTACAAATGCAGTTAACCATAAAGTGCCTGGTTCAGTTTGTTTGGTGTTGAAAATATTGAAAAAGAATTGTAATGGATAAATAAATAAATTAATTAATCAATTAATTAATCACTCCATTAATTAATTTATAAACAGTTATTATACGAAATATATGGTATCAACAAAATGTGAGAATGAGCGCTTTTTAAATCCTTAAATAGAATTAAAAAATTGTAAACTTGGCTAGCGAATTTTAGAATAGGTTAATCAACACCGACGACACTATCATCATCATCATCGTCGTCATCATCATCGTCATCATCATCACCATCATCATTGCCATTATTGCGTCACCTTGACCAATGTAGATACCAGGACCGATTGTCAAATTGTCGTTACCTCGCGTTGCATTGTTGTAACATTCATATCTTCAGAACTTTATTCTGGTGTTCTGTCATCATTTTTTTGTGAAATTTAACCTGACTTGCCATACTAAAACATCATTGTCCCACGTGATTTAATATATATAGCTTTATAATAAAATATCAGTGCTCATTGTTCTTAGTAAAAAAGTTAGCTATAGATATAAGCGTCGAAGACTAGGCTAATGAATCTGAATCTAGCTATAAATTTTATTTACGCGACTACGGCTTAATTTGTTGTAAATTTCAATTTAATAAATTTAATTATGGAATTAGAAAAGAAACGAATGAAAATAATTCTTTCCGACTATGAAGAGGTGTTCATGAAGATTCAATGCAAACGCGCCTTTAAATTACTTGAAAAGTATATGAAAAAAAGAGTCAAGAAATACCGGCCGACGAAGAAACTGAAAGGCATATTCCACCAACTTTTACTATCTCCGGATATTTTGAGAGATTATCCAAAATATCTAGAACATAATAAAGAACTATTCCATTTACTGGTTGACTATCAGGATTATAATCGCCAAAAGTTAGCAAAACACGCATCACAAACTTACGACGAGATACTATATTACGACGATCTGTATGGAGTCAAAGCTACAGCAATTATTCACCACATCGACAATTTCCCGACGCTACACAAATTACAGTGCAATCGATTTCTACCTTACATCAAAGGTGTGTACGAGCCAGGTGGATGTGTCATTTGTATCAGTGAATTCGATGAAGAAACAATTGTCTACGAGCTAAACTGCCGACATTCCTTTCATATACCTTGCATAAGAAATTGGTTTAACGTTCAAAATAATTGCCCCTGTTGCAGAAACAAGGTTTCTGGCTGCTTGCAATTTTTTTACTCATATAAAACTGAACAACTCGAAAATGGGGATTTGATTTACAGAGTTGAAATAATCTCCGATCATGACAAACATTAAAATGATATTTTTGACTACTTTTCTACCTCATGTATTACCGGTGATTTTTTTTTAATTTTCCTTGATTTTAATTTATTAATTTATTTAATCAGCATACTGTGGTATTTCTGAATAAAAAAAATAACGTTTACAAAATTATTCGTGTATTTGCCTTTAAATAAATAACCAAATATTCAAGAGATTTAACTTATAAAGTTAATTTAAATAATTAATCTCCAACACGTAAATTAGTTCTAATTAAACTGACTAAGGAACTACGCTGTTTTAATTAAACAGATGATAGTACTAAACTTAAGCAATGATATACAACTTCAGATTTTACATTAAAAAATATACCCTAAATTCTTTTAAAAATGTAGGTACCAATCAATCAAAACAATATAAAAAGTATATAATTTAAGGCAGTGGCGAATTTAAGGGGGGTCGGGGGACAATGCTGTTAACTCGGTAAAACTCAGATTTCGTTTGATCCGGATAGTTGAATCCACCGAACAGTTATCATTATGAATCACAGAACTCGCACTATAGTTCATTTTTTTGTAATGTGGCTCTGATATAGAGAAATCAGTTGGTAGAAAATTACAATATTTATCTAATACTATCTCCAAACGTTTTTAATACATAGTATCTTGAATCGACCGAATTGTTGGCACCTACTGTAATACTATAGATTGACTTTTTTGAACGTGGCGTGGATATAGCTAATTAAGCTGATAGATACTAGATTCATGTAGTTCTCAATTTCCTGAGCATAAAATGTATATCTGGTAATGGAAAATGCGACATTTTTATATATAGTACCCATATAAAAAATTCATAAATCGTTTAAATTTTAGTTTAATCAGCTTAAATCCCAACCAAAATACCGGTAAACTTTTAAATGGAACGAAATAGCAGTGAGTCCGTCGCTTAAGTTGACAAAATTCGTAAATGTTTTTTCGAAAAAATTCGTTAAAACCGTAAAATTCTTGTCGAAATAATCAGCAAAAATATTGTTGTAACGTGAACAATCGTCGAGTTATTCAATCTTTCAAGATTTCTGATAGATAAACACAACTGCTTCAAACACAGCACAGTTTAAACGCTTATTTCAAAAGTAACAAAACCAATGTGTTATTCACTAAATCCAAGAAATATGTCGCACGATGGTCAACAATCCACAGCACCACCACTTCATAATCCAACAACTATAACCTCGCCATACTTACGTGTTTGGATTAAATAGTAGTTTTAAAATAGAAAGTTCCAGCCATTATAACATTATCATTATCAAAGGTAGGCAACAAAACACGTTTGACTCTAAAAATATATTAAAAACAAAAAGACGATGAACAAATTAAATTAATTTTACATAATTTAAGATAAAAAATTAATGAACTCATTGATCAAAAACAGTTTTTGGTATAAACTTCCTATCTTTCAGCTTATCGACAACAGTTAAATCTTTATTTTCATTCTCTGCTAGAATTCTCTTCACTCTTTCATCACTGATACTTTCTTTTTTCCATGGAGATTCCTCCCCACTTCGAACCCACCATTCCAATTTGTACCCAATGGCCCCAACCACAAAAGCTGCGGGCCAAATAACATAGGGGGCATAAGCTCTGGCCGCTGCCATTATTAGTGGGAGTACCATATTTTCGTGTATTTATAGATGGGTTTTTTTTCGTCCGGATTGGATAAAAATAAATTATAAATTCTGAAGTTATTTCGTGAGTTGATGAAATGAACAGACCAAATGAGAACGAGGAGACACGTCTAAGAAAGAAGACTGATAAAATGATCTTTTAGTAGACAACAGAACTATACTGTTGTTTTCGTTTGGTCAGTTTCGTTTAGTTAGTAGTAGAATCAAGTTCAAGATTATCAAGATCAATAATCACTGCCTCTTAAAATCGATGGACAGGACTGACTGTTTCGTTTCGTAATCTACCTTTGAAAAGGAAATAAAATAATTGAACATTTAAAAAAAAAACTAATAACAATCAGTAAAAAATTAATTTAAAAAAATGCGATTTTAATTCTAAAAAGAAATAATTTAGTGATATAAAATAACGAAAAAACAAACTTTTCGATCGCATTCACAATTTAAGTTTACTTTTTTTTAATGAGCCACTGAAATGCTTAAAAGTAAAGCTATTTAAATTTTGCACCATATATGAATATATTCTACATATGTCTAGCACCAAATTTTACTTTACTTTTGGATTTCCATACGGTAACTCTTTTGCGAGACGTCATAAATATCAAACCTCTTATTGTATGCGCACCTTATCAATCAATCAATCAGTCTTCGTTTAGCGTCCAGAGACCCAGTTTTTTTGCGCCAAATTAGACCATTAGTTGACAGACACACACACACACACATACACACAAAGACAGACAGACAGACACACAGACAGACAGATAAACAAACACACATTTCATCATGCGCACCTTATATAAAATCATTTTTTATAAATATTTTTTTTCTTCATTTCATATACTTTGTACATATTTTCGACATCCAGATAAGAACTAAATGTTAACTGACACATGTATCAATTTATACCATTTCGCTTATTTCTATACGATGATTTTATATTCATTACATGAGATGAACACTATTTTAACCCAACAATCAATATAAAATCCACGTTAGAAAAATTATTTCACACCTATTTGAAGTTGTATCTTTTGACAGCCAACTGAAAGTTATGTCGTATTCAGACAGCAGCATGAACGTCCTACCTCGGGAAATCGGGTCTCTGGACGCAAAACGAAGATTGATTGATAGACAGCAGCATGATGAATTAAAACCTATGAAAAAATGAAACTAGTTTCACTGCATTAGCTAGATATAATTTTTCAAGTGTATTGTGTACAAATTGTCAAACAATCTTTTTCACCATTCAATATATTGAAAAAACAAACAAAAAGTACAGAAAATAATGAACATGTTAGGAAAGGTTTCGATTTTTTTCATCAATATATTCAGTTCCTCTACATCTTTTCCCAGTAACTGGCTCTACGATATTTCCAACTGGGAAAATAATTTCTTTCAAGTAGTGGGCTATTTGTAATCTTTCCTTTTTTTCTAGGGGTTTTATTAAAACAAAGTCACCCACATTAGCCTTGGAATCCGGATCGGAAGCCCAACAATGCTTTTCCCAATTTATGTACTGCAATGAAATGAATGATATTGAAATGACATATAACATTAATTAAAAAAACACTAAGTTTAAATGAAAATTTGTAAAGAAAATCTAATGAAGAAAGAGTTTGAGCATTAAAAAATTTAATACATTTATATATTATTTAGTATAGAAAAGCATATCTAAATATTATTTTGTAAATAAGTTATCTGTAAAGATTAATAAATGTAATTTGTCAAATTGTGAGTTGGAAGATAAGCAAATTGCCTATTTCGTTAGTTAGTAGTGATTTCAATTTTAAAATTTTAAATAGATTCACTAAAAATATTAAAAAAACATTTACTTTTATAATTTCAATATTAAAAGTTTGACTTTGAATTGATTGAGAAACCTAAGCACCAATGATTTCATTAATGAATAAAGTATAAACTAACCACGTTCGTATTTTCATCTAACTTCATTCTTTGGACGCTTACCTTGGCAGCCTTCCACAACGAATTCAACTTGATTACCTTCCCCACTACAGTTCTGCCTATTTCGTTAGCCATCTTGAAGATAACAATTTTCGTAAAAATACTGAAATTATTTTACTTAAAATTCGAAATACTAAACAATAATATCTAATTTAATATTTCATGAGATATTTTGTTGAAATAAATTAGGGAAGAATACAGCACACAACAAAGAGCATCTGAAAATAATTTAAAAGTGAATGTCATATATTGTTTTAAAAGTTAAGTTTAATAAGAAGTATTAATATTGAGCCCAAATAATAAATAACGAAAAAATATAGCAACAAATTAATTGTTAAATGAAATTATTAAATTAAACAAACATTAAATGTGCTTTTTAATTGTAAAAAATTATTTATTCAACTGTATTTATGTATATATGATAAATTGATATTTGACCGATCAGCCAAATACTCGAACGATAAATCGTCCATCTCTTTTTAAATGTTTATATATACTAAAATCGAAGTTAAGTCTTCGTAGATTCCCGGAGGAATTAGGAACATTTCGGAAGTGGGTTGTGCTCCGGTTCAGCAAAAAGTTGATTTAAAATGTTTAATTTTTTAATTTATTTAAAGAATGATAAAAATTGATTGCTTCTAACTCAGTAGAAATATTACTTATTCATTCAACCCAGGATTGAATAAAATTTATTCTTTTAAAAATTTAAATTTTAATGTACTAATTAACTAAATTAATAATTTCATTATTAAAATTTAAATAATAATTAATAGTAATAATAATTACACCACAGAAGTTACAAGAAGATTTTATAATTAATAATAATAGCAATTATGCCACAGAAAGCAGAATCCTAAAATACAAGAAGATTTCATATTTCATAATTATAACAATTACACCACAGAAGGCAGAATCCTACAAATCACAAAGACATTTTATTTAACCTATCCCTTCAGCCCATCCCTAACTCCTTTCTCTTTAGCTTAGCCTTTATTTGATCAACTTCAACATTTATCATTGTACCTAATCAACCAACTTATTGGACTTACTATAATTAACCAACCAATCTAGCAAAATTAAAACAACTAACCAATGTGTCAAATCAGTTAATGACTACTAATGTGATTAAGCAACCACCAAATTCTCTATCTTTGATGGAAAAGTTTGTGTTGCTTTTACAATTTAAACTATTGACAGTTTGTTTTTTTTTCATATTAACAAACATTTTTAACTTCTGACTTACTTACTAAATTTGTTAACTTAATAACAGGTCCTAATGGTTGGAGAGTTTTTAAATCAAAATACCCGATGAATTAGAACAGTATTTTATTGAAGTATTCACATCGCATTCATCCAAATTGATAGAGTATAGTATTACATTAAAATACCTCATCCAGTTATTACCATTGCCTAAACAAAATCTCTAATTAGGAACAATCCTTAATCCATAATCAAGGATAATCTCTAATTCCTAATCAAAGATAACTCCAATTCCTAATTTGTGATAATTCCTAGCTCCTAATCAAAATGGCAGAATCATCATCTTATATACTGCACATGGGTGATATTATTTCACTGTATGCTGAAGGGAATGTCTCTGGCTTCATCTCAACTCTGGGGTGAGCTACAATTTCTTAACTTTTAATTTAAATCCATTTTTAGTTTGTTATTTTTTTCCATTTGAATTAATATTTCTCTGTTTCTATTTTTATTTGGAGCTGTTTTTAGTTTATTTTGATTTAACTAGAACACTTATAACTTCTACCCTGGATATATGTTTTTATTCATTCATTCATTCATTCATTCATTCATTCATTCATTCGTACATTCATTCATTCTTCATTCATTCATCTATCCATCCATGTTAAATGTTGGAATAAATTATGTTAGTTAGTTTTCTAAGTTAGCCCATAGATTAATTTATTAGTATGTTGTTTTGTAATTAGATACACAAGTTTGAGTGTCACCAAACTCATCATACTGATTATGGATAAATTAGGCAAATTAGCGTAATTAAATCATGCAAATTAGAGCAGATAATTGACTATGCTAATTTGTATGAATAAATTATGTTAATGAACAGCCTGGTGGACGACAGATGCGTGGTGCAACCTGAGACTGGGGACCTCAATAATCCACCCAAGAAGTTCAGAGGTTAAAATATTAATTATTAAAATATTAATTATTAAAATATTAATTATTAAAATAGTAATTTTAATAATAATAAATAATAGTAATAATAATGATGATGATTATAGTTTAAATGGTTTCATTAAGATGTTCTATTGTTAATAATGTTGAGACTAATTTGATAGTGTTTCATTTAATTTAATAAATAGATATTTCAACAATCAATCTATCTATCGATTGATTGATCAATCAATCTAATCCAACTCATTTATTTATTCATTCATTCATTCATTCATTCATTCATTCATTCATTCATTCATTCATTCATCCAATTTATTTATTTATTCATTCATTCATTCATTCATCTATCCTTTCTTCAATAATCCAATTTTTTTTGTCCATAATCCCTAATATAATTATTTTATTGTTATATGAAGCATGTACTATTGATTATTGGATGAACGAAGGGATTGAAAGAATCGAAAAATGAATGAATAAATAATGAATGACCGGACAAACGAACGGATGAATGAGTGAGTGAACGAATGAATGAATGAAGAACGGACGAACGAAAAAATGAATAGGCAAACAATGATATGAGCAAATAAACGAACGAACGAATGAATGAATTTGTTAATGAACGAATGAATGAACGCACAAACTAATTGAATGAATAAATAAAAGAATGAATAAATGAATGAAAGAGAGACAGAACGAATGAATAAATATTTATTTAAGAGTATTTTCCAGTGAGAGATAGTTATCATAAACATTTATAAACATTATCAGCTGCAATCATAGCCATTATTGTTTTGGTTGACTTTGACTAATGTAACAAATATATTTATCTCTCTCTCTCTCTCTCTCTCTCTCTCTCTCTCTCTTTCTCACTCTCTCTTTTTTTCTCCTCTATTTCTATCTCTCATTCTCTTTTTTTTGTCTATTGACATTGACTATTGTAACAAATTTTTTTCTTTTTCTTTCTCTTGCTCTCCCTCCCTCTCTCTCCATCTGTCTCTCTCTTTCTCTCTCTGCTTCATTCATTTCTACCTGTACAGGTGAGATCTAATTGTAATCCATTACCAAACACATTAATAATGAAAATAGAACGCTATATATATATATATATATATATATATATATATAATATATAATAATATATATTTATAAACACATCTACACATCACATACGTAAATGTATACACGCACAGGCACACACACACACACACACATCTATGTAGGTATGTGTGAAGGTATTTACAATGATATCTTGTCTGGTCTGTCTTTGATATAGTCTATTTATATTGTTATTATGTTATATATATATATATATATACGCACACATATATTCAAATATATATATATATATTATTATTTATATATTATATATATATATATATTTATTATTATTATTATTATATATATATATATACATATATATGTATGTATGTATGTATATATGAAATAATTTTGTATTATGTTGGTATCAATTTTTTTTATATCCTTTTGTTGTTATTGTTAGTTGGGTTTGATTTTAATTAGTTGTAGTAGTAGTATTAGTAGTAGTAGTAGTGGTAGTAGTAGTAGTAGTGGTAGTAGTAGTAGTAGTGGTAGTAGTAGTAGTGCCAGCAATAGTTATAGTATCAGTAATTTTAATATTTGTAATGGTAGCTTATTAGTAGTATATATGAAACTCTTTTTTTTAACTGCGTCTTTCTCTCTCTCTCTTTCTTTTTTTCTATCTCTCTCTTTCTTTCTTTCTTTCTTTCTTTCTTTCTTTCTTTCTCTCTTTCTCTTTTTCTTTCTTTCTTTCTTTCTCTTTTTCTTTCTTTCTTTCTTCCATCTCT